TGTTGGGTGAGTGGGCTTATTAACAAAAGACTCTCCTCACACCAGGCCTTGCCACATCAGGCCTCTCTCATACTGAGGCCTACCTCACACTGAGGTCTGCTAACACTGAGGTTTACCTCACATTGAGGCCTCTCTCAGACTGAGGGCAACTAACACTGAAGTGTACTAAGTTACAGAGAGAGAGAGAAGTATGTGAAGTGAGTCAAGGTGTTTCTTCTGGATCTTTCACCTCTTTACTGAAAAGAAGGGAAATATGTAATGGACACAAACCTGATGATGCCATGTAACATAGACTGAGGCCTACCTCACACTGAGGTTTACCTCACACTGAGGCCTCTCTCAGACTGAGGGCAACTAACACTGAGGCGTACTAAGCTACAGGCACACCTACCTATATTGAACTGCAGCTTTTGCCGAGTCATTGCATCCATTTCACTCGTTCAGTGCTTGACTTGACTCACATTTTTGTAATTAAAAATACCTAGTTAATTTTTAATATTTCTGACATGGGACATGAGAGAAGCCCCCCACAATAGACTTACATTTTTTGTTGTGTTTGAAGCAAATTGAGAATATACTGCAAGTCACTTCTGGTGTGAGAGAACTGGCCATCTGCAAGGACATTGCCCAGGGGACGCCTAGATGTATTACCATCCTGTGGGAGGCTTCTCTCATGTCATGTATTTCAGAAATATAAAAAAATTAACTAGATGTTTTTAATTACAAAAAATGTGAGTCAAACACTGAGTTAAATGGATGCAGTGACTCAGCAAAAGCTGCAGTTCAATGTAAGTAGGTGTGCCTGTAGCTTAGTATGCCACAGTGTTAGTTGCCCTCAGTCTGAGAGAGGCCTCAGTGTGAGGTAGGCCTCAGTATGTAAGAGGCCTGATGTGACAAGGCCTGGTGTGAGGAGAGCCTTTTGTTGATAAACCAACTCGCCCAACACCATAGACTTAAATTAGACAAGTTTTATTGTGAGAAGCACCCCTGGCTTTGATAAGCACGCATTAGAGGTAACTGAAAGCCATAGCTGGACGGAGAACAGATAATGGAAATAAATCCTTAATCTGGAATCCTAGTTCAAGAATCCCATGGACAAGATGGAACATGTCCAGAGAAGGGCAACTAAAATGGTCAAAGGTTTGGAAGCCACTTCTCACACAGAACTTACACAGGAGCTTCACACAGTAGCTTTACACACAGCAGCCTTCATACTAGAGCTTCACAAATGATGGCCTATAACCTGGGGCTTCTTTCACCGAAGCTTCTCACACCAGGACTTCTCATACTGAGGCCTACTAACACTGAGGCCTACCTCACACCAAGGCTTTCTCACATTAAGGGCTCTCTCAGATGGAGGACTATTAACACTTTGGGCCCTTCTCACACTGAGGGCTCTCTCAAACTGAGGCCTACTGAGGCCTTCTCACACTGGGGGCTCTCTCAGACTGAGGCCTACTAACACTTTGGAGCCTTCATACACTGAGGACTCTCTCTGAGGCCTACTAATACTTTGGGGCCTTCACACACTGAGGGCTCTCTCAGACTGAGGCCTACTGAGGCCTTCTCACACTGAGGGCTCTCTCAGACTGAGGCCTACTATCATTCTGAGGCCCTTCTCTCACAGACTGAGGCTACTAAGCTACAGACACGCCTGCTTATATTGAACTTTGGCTTTTGCTGATTAATTGCATCCATTTAACCCTTTCAGTGTTTGACTCACACTTTCGTAATTAAAAATACCTAGTTAATTTTTAATATTTCTGACAGACCCTTGGGGTCCCTTCCAGCTTCTATGATTCATAAACTCTATGTCGCCCCTGTCTTGCTTCATTAAACTTTGGATTTGTACAGGATAGTATTTGGGTGGATCCCCTTAAGTTCGTCCTGTATCTCTTCCGCTTTATGCTCAAGAGTGTCATGTCTGAGGAAGCCATCTTGTCTTAACGTGTATATTCTCCCCTCTGGTTTAGGTCCACGCCATCCCTTTGCGCTCTTCCTGGGTAATGACGTGCGCTTATGCCCCGTCTGGAAACTACGTGGCTTGTGGTGGCCTGGACAACATATGCTCCATTTACAACCTGAAAACACGCGAAGGCAATGTGCGCGTAAGCCGCGAACTGGCTGGCCATACAGGTGAGCACGATTTGGTTCCACGAACCCCATTATTAATGCAAGGATTCCTCGATGTATGGCACGTGTGTCAACTGCAGATATTTGACTCCAACTCCTTTATTCCTCATCATGAGACATCATGATTGTAGCTGATGGGAGTTGGAATACAGGGACATCTGGAAGGGTGCTGTTTGTTCTGTTTGGTCAGGATGATGGTTTTGGATTGAGATACAAGGATTGCAGATAGGATGTCTGACTTTAAAATGTCCTTTGACCTTTCCCCTTAACCTTGGAGGGTTGCAGGTCCCATTATCCCCAGTCCGCAAAAGCGATGGGAATTGTCATTCAGTAACATCTGGGGATCCAAATTGAGTCAGAACTCTAAAGAGCACTGACCACCATGTAAACAATATTATAGTTGGTCCTCTATATCCGCGGATTCTCTGCCTGCGGATTCTCCATCCATGGATTCAAGGGCCTTTTGAAGGTAACACTGAGACTGATGGGGCCCTCAAGGAAAATGGGTTTGACACCTCTGATCTATACTGTCTCCTGAAGAAACTGTCTCCATCTTGTTTGTTCTGATTAGTCAGGATAATGGCTTTGGATTGAGATACAAGGATTGCAGATAGGATGTCTGACTTTCAAATGTCCTTTGGGTTGCAGTTCCCATTATCCCCAGTCTGCAAAAGCAATGAGAAGTCATCCAGTAACATCTGGGAACCCAAATTGGGTCAGAACTCTAAAGAGTACTGACCACTATGTAAACAATCTTATAGTTGGTCCTCTATATCCGCGGATTCTTCATGGGGCCCTCAGTGAAAATGGGTTTGACACCTCTGATCTATACCGTCTCCTGAAGAAACTGTCTCCATCTTGTTTATTCTGTTTAGTCAGGATAATAGTTTTGGATTGAGATACAAGGATTGCAGATAGGATGTCTGTCTTTAAAATGTCCTTTGACAGTTCCCCTTAACTTTGGAGGGTTGCAGGTTCCATTATCCCCAGTCCACAAAAGCGATGGGAGTTGTCATTCAGTAACATCTGGAAATCCAAATTGGGTCAGAACTCTAAAGAGTACTGACTACTATGTAAACAATATTATAGTTGGTCCTCTATATACGCGGATTCTCTGTCCACGGATTCTCCATTCATGGATTCAAGGACCTTTTGAAGGTAACCCTGAGACTGATGGGGCCCTCAAGGAAAATGGGTTTGACACCTCTGATCTATACCATCTCCTGAAGATACTGTCTCCATCTTGTTTGTTGTGTTTAGTCAGTCAGGATAATGGTTTTGGATTGAGATACAAGGATTGCAGATAGGACGTCTGGCTTTGAATAGTCTTTTGACTGTTCCCCTTAACCTTGGAGGGTTACAGTTCCCATTATCCCCAGTCCGCAACAGCGATGGGAGTTCTCATTCAGTAACTTCTGGGGACCCAAATTGAGTCAGAACTCTAAAGAGCACTGACCACTATGTAAACAATATTATAGTTGGTCCTCTATATCCGCGGATTCTCCATCCATGGATTCAAGGGCCTTTTGAAGGTAACCCTGAGACTGATGGGGCCCTCAAGGAAAATGGGTTTGACACCTCTGATCTATACCATCTCCTGAAGATACTGTCTCCATCTTGTTTGTTGTGTTTAGTCAGTCAGGATAATGGTTTTGGATTGAGATACAAGGATTGCAGACAGTCCTTTGACCGTTCCCCTTAACTCTGGAGGATTGCAGTTCCCATTATCCCGAGTTCACAAAAGCGATGGGAGTTGTAATTTCCAGTATGTAAACAATATTACAGTTGGTCCTCTATATCCGTGGATTCTCCATCCATGGATTCAAGGGCCTTTTGAATGTAACCCTGAGACTTATGGGGCACTCAAGGAAAATGGGGTTGACACCTCTGAGCTATACCGTCTCCTGAAGACGCTGTCTCCATCTTGTGTGGTCAAACACTTTCATGGCCAGAATCACTGGGTTGCTGTGAGTTTTCCAGACTGTATAACCGTGTTCCAGAAGCATTCTCTCCGGACATGTCACCCCCATCTATGGCAGGCATCCTCAGAGGTTGTGAGGTCACAATCTCTGAGTTGGTCCTCTATATCCGCGGATTCTCCATCCATGGATTCAAGGGACTTTTGAATCACTGGGCTACTGTGAGTTTTCCAGACTGTATAACTGTGTTCCAGAAGCATTCTCTCCTGACATTTCACCCCCATCTATGGCAGGCATCCTTAGAGGTTGTGAGATCACAATCTCTGAGGATGCCTGCCATCGATGTGGGTGAAATATCAGGAGAGAATGCTTCGGGAGCCTGGCCATACAGCTGGGAAAACTCACAGCAGCCCAGTGTCTCCATCTTGCTTTTGCAGTAAGGTTTGTACAGAGCGACCAAAGCTTGGGAAAGGAACTGCGGGATGCCGGCAACGGTCATCCTAAAGGAATGATTGGGACTTTTTCAAGACCTGCCAATCATGTGGCAGTTTTTGCAATTGCAAGACTGAAAGATTGATGAGGCAACTTCTGTGCCCATAAAAGGAGCATGCTGTGCATTTCACTTCACAAAGAGATAGAAATTGAGTTACACTGCCTCCTGGTGGTTGCTCATGTGTAGTCAGTATATGGAGGATGTATTTTCATTCATTGACCAAATTTGGCACAAATATATAGCCAAATTCAAACAATGGTGGGGGTGGGAGGGGAGTTGATTTAGTCATTTGGGAGTTGTAGTTGCTGGGATGTATAGTTTGCCTACAATCAAGGAGCATTCTGAACTCCACCAACGATGGAATTGAACCAAAGGTGACACACAGGACTCCCATGACCAACAGAAAATACTGGAAGGGCTTGATGGGCATTTGCCTTGAGTTTGGGAGTTGTAGTTCACCTACATCCAGAGAGCAACTGCTTTGGGAGACGGTGGTCAGGCATCCGGACAACGTTGCCGGTCCAGCGGAGTTGATGGCAGAGGACCATCGCTTCAGTGCTGGTGGTCTTTGCTTCTTCCAGCACGCTGATGTTTGTCCGCTTGTCTTCCCAAGAGATTTGCAGGATTTTCTGGAAGCAGCGCTGATGGAATTGTTCCAGGAGTTGCATGTGACATCTGTAGACAGTCCATGTTTTGCAGGCGTATATATAGCAGGGTTGGGAGGACAATAGCTTTATAAACAAGCACCTTGGTATTCCTACGGATGTCCCGGTCTTCAAACACTCTCTGTTTCATTTGGAAGAATGCTGCCCTCACAGAGCTCAGGTGTTGCTGTAATTCAGTCTCAATGTTGACGTCTGTAGACAGTCCACGTTTTGCAGGCATATAGCAGGGTTGGGAGGACAATGGCTTTATAAACAAGCCCCTTGGTATCTCTACAGATGTCCTGGTCCTCAAACATTCTCTGCTTCATTTGGAAGAATGCTGCACTCGCAGAGCTCAGGTGTTGTTGTATTTCAGTCTCAATGTTGACGTCTGTAGGCAGTCCACATTTCGCAGGCGTATATATAGCAGGGTTGGGAGGACAATAGCTTTATAAACAAGCACCTTGGTATCCCTACGGATGTCCCAGTCTTCAAACACTCTCTGCTTCATTTGGAAGAATGCTGCACTCGCAGAACTCAGGCGGTGTTGTATTTCAGTCTCAATGTTGACGTCTGAAGACAGTCCACGTTTCGCAGGTGTAGATATGTAGCAGGGTTGGGAGGACAATAGCTTTATAAACAAGCACCTTGGTATCTCTACGGATGTCCCGGTCCTCATTTTCAGATATATTTATGAATCGTAGAATGGAAGGAATACCATATTTTATGGAAATCGTAACCTGCCCTGGTTGTCACCAAGGATCTGCTTCGGTTGGACCCGTAGAAGCATGGGACCACCTCCCACCCCAAATGCCAGCCTGAAAATGCATTGATCTGCTACCTTTTACCTTGAACGGAGAGCCACGAACCCCTTCGATGTGGCTTGGATTATAAATAGCCGCCTATTGCCGGGGAACCTGAGCCTCCTCCTGTGAGCTGTGCGCGGAGCATGCCTTTGAGTCTGCGCCTGGGAAGCCGTGCGGCAGAGGCCAGCCAGCAAGACACAGAGCCCCCCCAAGGCTTCCTCTTCAGCGCCGGGAAAGGTCTTTCCGGAGCCAAGCTGGCCACCTCTGGAGGAAGAAGCCTCTGCGCTCGAGACGGAAACAAAGAGAGCACCAGCCATCCAGGACTGTGGCGGGGGCAACCGTTTATGTTAAGATGCCTTCAGCCTATTCTTTCCTGCTTTCTATCTATTCTTTCCTTCAGCAAGGGTTTCAAACCCATCTCCATCGAGGACCACAACGGTCTTATGGTTGTTTAGCTTTCTACGGGCCATTAAATATAACATAACATTAAAATATAAAGTTAATTGGGTGTGTTATCTGCTTCAGCATATAACAAGGCACAAGGTTGGCAAGCTTTGAGCTTTTCATTTGGCTTAGCGGCTGGTGGGGACGAGAGACAGGGCCTTCTTGGTGGTGGCCCCTCGACTCTGGAACTTGCTTCCTCTGGAGATCAGAACTGCCCCTTCGATCTTAACGTTCAGGAAACAGGTGAAGACCTGGCTTTGGGGATTGGCATTCGACGAATGAGCCATGATCCTGTGATATGGATGGAGGACGACGAATAATGATTTTTGATGACGACTGACCACTATAATTATATGACTGTAGTTTGCTATTATAATGTTTTAGTGTGATTTAGAATATGATGTTTTAATGACGGTCTGTAATATTGATGTTGGAAACCGGCCCGTGTCCCTCGAATGGAGGTGAGAAGACCAGGATACAAAACTGCCAAATAAATAAATTTAGCTTGATGGCTTGTTTGGGCTGTAGAAACCTTTGGCTGTTGCTGGGAGCGGTTATGCAGCGTACTGAAGCTGAACCCGTTTGGAGTGCCCAGGAAACTGCTTGTTTGTGGCAAGATAAGGACATTCTACTGATAACTACTGATGACCACAACAATCTTATGGTTGCTTTCTATGGGGCATTAAAGCCATGGACAGAGTGTCCGTTAATACAGAGGGACAACTGTATACTTTTTTAGGTGCTACTCTTTTATATTTTACCCAATATTGGTTGCCAGATGTTAATGTTCCTACTAGATGTTTACAACAGGCTTTTTCTAAGTAACAAAGGGGATCAGAACCTTTTCTATTACAGCTGCCACAAGGTAATAATAATAATAATAATAATAATAATAATAATAATAATAATCTTTATTTATACCCCGCCACCATCTCCCCAATGGGGACTCGGAGCAGCTTACATGGGGCCAAGCCCGAACAAGAATTACAATATTACAATACAAATTGCAATAAAATAAACAAATAACATTAAAATATAAAGTTAATTGGGTGTGTTATCTGCTTCAGCATATAACAAGGCACTAGGCTGGCAAGCTTTGAGCTTTTCATTTGGCTTAGCTTGGTGGCTTGTTCGAGCTGTAGAAACCTTTGGCTGTTGCTGGGAGCAGTTATGCAGCGTACTGAAGCTGAAGCCATTTGGAGTGCCCAGGAAACTGCTTGTTTATGGCAAGATAAGGACATTCTACTGATAACTAATGATGACCACAACAATCTTATGGTTGCTTTCTATGGGGCATTAAAGCCATGGACAGAGTGTCTGTTAATACAGAGGGCCAACTGTATACTTTTTTAGGTGCTACTCTTTTATTTTTTACCCAATATTGGTTGCCAGATGTTAATGTTCCTACTAGAGGTTTACAACAGGCCTTTTCTAAGTAACAAAGGGGATGAGAACCTTTTCTGTTACAGCTGCCACAAGATAATAATAATAATAATAATAATAATAATAATAATAATAATAATAATCTTTATTTATACCCCGCCACCATCTCCCCAATGGGGACTCGGAGCAGCTTACATGGGGCCAAGCCCGAACAAGAATTACAATATTACAATACAAATTGCAATAAAATAAACAAATAACATTAAAATATAAAGTTAATTGGGTGTGTTATCTGCTTCAGCATATAACAAGGCACTGGGCTGGCAAGCTTTGAGCTTTTCATTTGGCTTAGCTTGGTGGCTTGTTTGAGCTGTAGAAACCTTTGGCTGTTGCTGGGAGCGGTTATGCAGCGTACTGAAGCTGAACCCGTTTGGAGTGCCCAGGAAACTGCTTGTTTATGGCAAGATAAGGACATTCTACTGATAACTACCGTATATTCCGGCATATAAGATGACTGGGCGTATAAGACGACCCCCAACTTTTCCAGTTAAAATAGAGTTAAGACAATTCCCATGCATAAGACTACACCCGCATATAAGACGACCCATGACTTTTGAGAATATTTTCTTGGGTTAAAAAGTACACCAGAATATACTGTAAGTAGAGAGACTATTATTTTGCTATGAGGGTTGAATGAAAAGTAGTGCCTCCATCTTCGTAACTCCTCAACAGATGGCAGAACGGGTATGCGGCAGGTACTGGCTTGTTCAGTAGACTCTCCTCTACAGTTCCATTTCGGCGAGAAGCCTTAGCGTTGAACAGTTGTGTTGTTAAAGTGAAAAGTAATGCCTCCACCTTTTAACCCCTCAACAGATGACAGTACTGGTAGGTGGCAGGTACTGGCTTCTTCAGTAGACTCTCCTCTACAGTTCCATTTTGGCAGAAAGACTTAGCATTGAACGGTTGTGTTGTTAAAGTGAAAAGTAATGCCTCCACCTTCGTAACTCCTCAACAGATGGCAGTACTGGGATGCAGCAGGTATTGGCTTGTTCAGTAGACTCTCCTCTGCAGTTCCATTTTGGCAGGAAGCCTTAGCATTGAACGGTTGTGTTGTTAAAGTGCAAAGTATGGAACCCTGCGCAGACGGTCGGTCAGTGTGACTTAAGCAACGTGCAGTCATTAAATTCTTGACAGCAGAAGGTGTCACCTCAACATCTTTAAACTTACTTGCCAAATGATGCACAGTACTCGCATCAACACAATCACCATAAACAGCTTGCATTCTCTGATGAATCTCTTTGGGGTGACAGCTTCTGAACGGCTCTTTGAGTATCAATATTCCTGAATTGTATTTCACTCTCTCTTTTTTCTCTACTTCGCAGGCTACTTGTCATGTTGCCGTTTTGTGGACGATAATCAAATCGTTACCAGTTCTGGAGATACTACTTGGTAAGAAGCAGAGCACTGAAGCACTGCAGGGACTCATTTAGGGTCTGCATCTCCCAGAGATCTCGAGGGAACATGTAGTGTTGTGCCATTTCCGATAGTAAAGGGATAGGAATGCTTTCTCATAGATTAACAAGGGAAATAACAGTAGCAACAGTGAGGTCACCAAAGAATTCCCAAAGAATTATATTATTGTCCATCTATCATACATAGAAATTTCAAAGTATGTCTGTCTGTACCACAAAAGCTGTTGCTAGGTGAAGTGGCCCTCTGTCATGTCACTGGGAGAGAAAGGCGAAATGTTTATGAGAGGGAAAGAGGAAGGAAGGGGCCATAAAGAGAGCCATGTTTATTTATTTACAGTATTTATTAGCTGAAAAAGTCTCCCCCAGCCTATACTCGAGTCAATATTATTTATATTTTTACTTTGTTGTTGTTGTTATTATCATTACATTCATTATTTTACTCTATTATTATTATTATTATTATTATTATTATTATTATTCTCTATTTATTATTATTGGAGGACATGTTAGCCTATTTACATTGAAGAAGGTTGGAATAATGGTTTAATCAGAATTGGACAGTCTTATCTTGAATTACCGTTTTATGTAAATATTCAACAACATTTAACCTACTGATGCCTCAATTAATATAATTTTATTGGTATCTATTTTTATTTTGAAATTTACCAGTAGCTGCTGCATTTCCCACCCTCGACTTATACTCGAGTCAATATGTTTTCCCAGTTATTTGTGGTAAAATTAGGTGCCTCGGCTTATATTTGGGTCGGCTTATACTCGAGTATATACGGTATTTTCATTTTGTTCACCAGACCAAATTTGGCATAAATACCTGAGCGACACTCAAAAAGCAGGGAATTCCAGACAAGAAAGAATCAGGGCCAGCTAACACCGCCCATCAAAGGATTCCCCCAAGCTGGAAGCAGCCAGGCTTTGAAGTTGCAAGGTCATTAAATGTTAATCAAGGTGGCTATTTGCAACATTCACACTTGCCTCGCCACCCAACAAATTTATTTATTTATTTTACTATATTTGTTGACAACTGCAGGCCTGCCAAGTTTCAAAACAACTCGCCGATCGACTGATTTTTTAGAATTATTTTAAGTTTTAAACATAACATTTTTTCAAAAAGAAAACAAAAAAAGAAGACAACTTCTTCGGATGTTGTGCAAACTTGTGTGCTTATTACACCCTTCTCGTTTTTAAAAATTGCTATTTTTTTTTTGCCTGGCAGTGCCCTTTGGGACATCGAAACGGGCCAGCAGACGACCACCTTCACTGGCCACACCGGCGACGTCATGAGCCTGTCCCTCGCTCCGGATTCCAAGTGTTTTGTTTCCGGCGCCTGCGACGCCTCGGCTAAGCTGTGGGATGTCCGAGAAGGAATGTGCCGGCAAACCTTCACCGGCCACGAGTCAGACATCAATGCCATTTGTGTATGTGCCAACGTTAAAACTCGGTGGTAGAGGCCTCTTTGTAAGTTAGGGCATGCCTTTCTCGTGCGTTACTACACTCGAAACCTTTCTGTGTTTCCCACCAGTTCTTCCCAAATGGCAATGCGTTTGCCACCGGCTCCGACGACGCCACGTGCCGACTCTTTGACCTCCGTGCCGACCAGGAGCTGATGGTCTATTCCCACGACAACATCATCTGTGGCATCACCTCGGTAGCGTTCTCCAAGAGCGGGCGCCTCCTCCTCGCTGGCTACGACGACTTCAACTGCAACGTGTGGGACACGCTCAAAGCAGATAGAGCAGGTCAGCCTCCTAACTCTGCGGAGCTTGCGTTTTCATAGCGCTTCATCGCTTTGTTTTGATGATGTTGTACCCAGTCCCGAGCAGCAAGGAGCGGCGGGCAATCAGTGTATTATTTATTATTATTACGGTCCTGGCCCAAGCTACCTATCCGAATGTATCTCTGCCTATGAACCCACCAGGACTCTAATTCCCTGCTCTCGATCCTGCCTGCATCACAGGCGCGGCTGGCGGGGACGAGGGACAGGGCCTTCTCTGTGGTGGCCCCTCGGCTGTGGAACGCCCTTCCCATGGACATTAGATCAGCCCCTTCGTTAATGGTGTTTCGAAGAAAACTAAAAACCTGGCTGTTTGAACAGGCATTCGGATAAATAGTGCAATGAACAATGAATATAGGAAACGGAATTATGGATGACGAATTGGATCACGATTTTAGTTACGAGACGTTAATGTGTTGTTATTGATGTGTCATTATTTTGTATATTATGCTGTTAATGGTTTTAAATATTGTATGTTGTACGATTGACTTTTTGCTCTTGTTGTGAACCGCGTTGAGTCGCCTACGGGCTGAGAAACTGCGGTATACAAGCAAAGTAAATAAATAAATAAATATTAGATATTGTTATCTAATATTATATTATATTATAATTATATTGTTGTTATTATCTAGTATTATTATAAGTATATTATTATATACTTATAATATTATACTTATATGGGTAATAAATGTATTATTTATTATTAGATATTATTATCTAATATATTATATTATTATTATTATATTATTATTATTATTATCTAGTATTATTAGAAGTTTTATATACTTATAAAGTTATATACTTATAATATTACATATTATATATATATATATATATATATATATATATATATATATATAAAATTAGATATTATTATCTAATATTATTATATACTAGCTGTACCTGCCATGCGTTGCTGTGGCCAACCTTCCCTCCCTCTTTCTCTCCTTCTTTCTCTCCTTCCTTCTCACCCTCTTCCTTCCATCCTTTTTTTTCCTTTCCTTCTCTCTCTTTCCTTCCTTCACCTTTTTCTTTTCTTCCTTTCTCTCCTTTCTCTTTCCTTCTCTACTTCTTTCCCTTCTTTCCTCCTCCTCTTTCCTTCCTTTCTGTTTTTCTTTCCTTCTCCTCTCCTTTTCTTCCTTCTCTTCTTTTCCTTCCTTCCCCCTTTTCTTTTCCTTCCCTTTCTCTCCTCTTCCTTCCTTCTCTTCCTCTTTTTTGCTTCCATCCTTCTCCTCTCCTTCCTTCCTTTCCTTCCCTCTTCTCTTCTTCTTCCTTGCTCCCTCTTTCCTTCCTTCCTTTTTTTCTTCCCTTCTCTCCTTCCTTCCTTCTCTACTCCTTTCTTTCCTTCCCCTTTTTCTTTTCCTCTTTCTCTCCTTTCTTCCTTCTCTGCCTCTTTCCTTCCTTCCTTCCTTCACTCTTTGCTTGCATGCTTCCTTCTCTCCTTCCTTCCTTCGTTCTTTCTTTCTCTCCTTCCCTCCCTCCCTCTTCCCAAACCGCAAGGTCAATGCCCACCAAATCCTTCCAGTATTTTCTGTTGGTCATGGAAGTTGTGTGTGGCCAAGTTTGGTTCAATTCCCTCATTGGTGGATCCATAATGTCCTTTGATTGTAGGTGAACTATAAATCCCAGAAACTACAACTCCCAAATGACAAAATCAATCCCCCCAACCCCACCAGTATTCAAATTTGTCTTATTGGGTATTTGTGCCAATTGGTGGAGTTGAGAATGCTCTTTGATTTTAGGTGAACTATAAATCCCAGCAACTACAACTCCCAAATGACAAAATCAATTCCCCCCACCCCCCATCCCACCAATATTCAAATTTAGGCATATTGAGTGTTTGTGCCAAATTGTGTCCTGTCAAATCTAAAATGTGTCCCTGTTGTTTCTCTTTCTGTGTGTTTGATTTCCAGGTGTCTTAGCTGGCCACGATAATCGTGTCAGTTGCTTAGGCGTCACTGACGACGGGATGGCGGTGGCAACAGGATCGTGGGATAGTTTCCTCAAGATCTGGAATTAAAGTCTTTGGGTACCTTTCCCTCTTTCTTTCGTTTTGCAAGGGTGGAGGGATGTGGGCATGTCGCCCTGGAGACAAGAGCTGGAGAAGGGAGAAAGGAGAGGAGAAAGAAAGGATGGGCGAAGGAAGGAGAAGAAAGAGGAGGAAGGAGAGGGAAGAAAGAAAAAAAGGGGGAATGAAAGGAAAGAAAGAGGGGGAAGGTGTATGAGGGAAAGGAGGGAAGAAAGAAGGGAAAGACAGTGGGAGAAGAAGGTGTACGGGGAAAAATCCCTCTTCGGAGGTCGAGAATAGGACGGGATACAAATGTTCTACATAAATAAATAAAAGAAAGCCAGAAATATTATAATAAAAGTACAGTGGAGTCTCGTTTATCCGACATAAATAGGTTGGCAGAACATCGGATAAAAAAATGTCGGATAATATGGGGTCTCCTACCATTACCTGTCCGACGCGGCAATAATAATAACAATTAGGCCTGGTTGATCAAGAAAAAATTTGGTTCTAAAATCGATTTGTAATTGGGGTTTTTTTTGTTTCGATATTTAAAATAATTACAAAATTTTCCTTTTAAAAAGTTTGATATTTACGAAATTTCGTAAATGGTAAAAAATTAACGAATCGATTTCCGAACCAATAACGAATCGATTCGTTAATGGCGGACGCGACCGCGAAATACGCTAAAAAACCTCCAAAACCTTCTGAAGCTTCCCTCTCCCTCTGTTGTTGACTGTTGGTGTGATATTATAATTTTTTTTCACTAATTAAACCATAAAACTGGCCCAGACATGCGGAAATAATAACGAAACGACCTCAAAACAATAACGAAACGAATACAATATCGAAATACGAAGCATTTATGAAACGTTTTTGAAAATTCGTTTTTTTATAATTGCTCCAGAATGGTTTGTTATCGTTTTGTAATTGAAAAAATTAATGAATTATTAACGAATTACGAATTAACGAAACGAAACCGCCCAGCCCTAATAACAATAACAATAATAATAATAATAATAATAATCTATATAAATAAAAACGTAATGTTTGTTTGTGGGACTAACATAACTCAAAAACCACTGGGCGAATTGACACAAAATTTGGACACAATAACAGTCCAACGAGTGTCCATCACCATAAACACACACACACACATGCACACAATGCCAGTGGAACAGACTTAAAAACTCAAAAATACACCATATATATATATATATATATATATATATATATATACACACATACACACCCATACAATCAAATACATATGTGCATGTACACATTCATACACACACACACACGTATATATATATATGCAAAAACACACACACAAATATACACATATACACACATTTATACATATACACATGCACACACATATCCACATACATACATATACACACACAAATATGCATATAGACAAGCACACACATATACACAATATGAATCTACACATATAAACACACAAATATATACACCCACATAATACACCCACATATCTACGCAAAAACAAATATATAAACAAATGTACACACACAAAAGACATATACACAGCAACGCGTGGCAGGGGATGGCTAGTAATAATAATAATAATAATAATAAACTAGACACCTCGAATACTAACAACTGGGACTCAAAGAGTTAAGGCAAGGCAACGCCCCAGGGCCAGAGAGGCCCAACAGGAAGTGCCCGGATGCGGAAAAGGACCATGGAAATCACAGAGGGAAGGAGGGAGGATGCTTCCACTTCCGGTCCTTCCTCTTTTCCCCCTTTCCTCGCTCCTCCTTCTTGTCTTACCTTTTTCACTTATTGGGAATGGAGAGAGAGATGGGGAGCGCTCCTTTAATTGAAGGGAAATGCTGGAGGAAAAAGGGGCGTCGGATAAGAGGAATGTCGGATAAACGAAGGTCGGATAGATATTTAAGCGAGATTCTACTGTACTATGTAAAGAAAAAGAAAAGAAGGGAGAGAAGATATGGAAGATGGAAGAAAGAAAAGAGGATGGAAGAAAAGAAAGAAGAGAAAGACAAGGGGAAAAGTTATGCGGGGAAGGAAAGAGGAAAACGGGAGTGTCAGATAAGAGCACCGGATAAGACGGAATGTTGGATAAGCGAGACTACTGTACTGTAAAATAAATAAATAAATAAATAAATAAGGAAGAAAGGAAGAGAGGGTAAGAAAGCAAAAGGGTGAAAGAAAGGAAGGAAGAGAAAGACAAGGGGGAAAGTTATGGGGAGGAAAAGGGGGGTGTTGGATAAGACGGAATGTTGGATAAGCAAAGGTCAGATAAGCGAGAATCTACTGTACTATAAATAAATAATGAAGGAAGGAAGGAAGAGAGAAGGGATAGAGGATAAGAAAGAAAAGATGGAAGAAAGAAAGAAGAGAAAGACAAGGGGAAAAGTTATGAGGGGAAGGAAAGAGGAAGCGGGGGTGTCGGATAAGATGGAATGTCGGATAAGCGAAGGTTGGATAAGCGAGACTACTGTACTGTACATAAATAATAAAGGAAGGAAGGAAGGAAGGAAAAGAGAAGGGAATCAGGATCAGAAAGAAAGGATGGAAGAGAGAAAGAAGAGAAAGACAAGGTGGAAAGTTATGAGGGGAGGGAAAGAGGAAAAGAGGGGCGTCGGATAAGCGAGTACTGTACTGTAAATAAATAATGAAGGAAGGGAAAAGGGATAGAGGATAAGAAAGAAAAAGGATGCTAGAAAGGAAGGGAGAGAAAAACAAGGTGGAAAGTTATGGGAAGGAAAGGGGGGGCGTAGGATAAGACGGAATGTCATATAAGCGAAGGTCAGATAAGCGAGACTACTGTACTGTAAATAAATAATAAAGGAAGGAAGGAAGGAAGGGAAAAGGGATATAGGATAAGAAAGAAAGAATGGAAGGAAGAAAGGAGAAAGACAAGGGAAAATTATGAGGGGAAGAAAAGAGGAAACGGGGGCGTCGGATAAGACGGAATGTCGGATAAGCGAGACTACTATACTGTAAATAAAAAATAAAGAAAGGGAGAAGGGAGAGAGAATAAGAAAGAAAAAGGACGGAAGAGAAAGGCAAGGGAAAAGTTGTGGGAAGGAAAGAGGAAAAGGGGGACGTCGGATAAGACGGAATGTCGGATAAGCAAAGGTTGGATAAGCGAGACTCTACAGTACAATAAATAAATAATGAAGGAAGGAAGGGAGAAGGGAGAGAGGATAAGGAAGAAAAAGGAAGGAAGGAAGGAAGAGAAAGACAAGGGGGAGTTGTGGGAAGGAAAGAGGAAAAGGGGGACGTCGGATAAGACGGAATGTCGGATAAGCAAAGGTTGGATAAGCGAGACTCTACAGTACAATAAATAAATAATGAAGGAAGGAAGGGAGAAGGGAGAGAGGATAAGGAAGAAAAAGGAAGGAAGGAAGGAAGAGAAAGACAAGGGGGAAAGTTATGGGAAGGAAAGAGGTAAAGGGGGATGTCGGATAAGACGTAATGTATTTTCAGGGCATGGTGATATCTTGAAAGCCAAACCGAACTCCCTATGTGTGTGTTCTTTTATTAGGACGGCAGTGGACTCTGCGCCAACTAGAAGACTTTTCCAAGGGTTGAAAGTTTCCAATTCTGTCTCGACTACAACTGTACTAACTCGGACACCCCCCCGTCCTGACCCCTCCCGTCCCGCCCCTCGTCCCTCCCCGGCCACCGAAGGGTGCGATCTTTCACGCCTCCCGTTGCTGAAACGAAGAGCACAATTTATCTCTATTTACGGAAGAAAAAAAAAAGTTGTGTGGTTATATACAAAAAAAAAAACAAAAAATAGCAAACGAAGTTACGAGGGGGAAAAAAATTAATAATAATCATAATTGTGCATTCCTTTGGGGACCACTTTTTCGTCTAGGAAACTAAAAGAGAAAAACAACAACACACTTGTGTAAAAAAAAAAGCATGTCCAAACAAACGGGAAAAAAAAATTGTGAAGCAAACTTTTAACTTTCACTGTAGTTTAAAATAATAATAATAATAATAATAATATGGCGGAAAGCATTGGTTTTACTGCATTTTTGCGTTTTGGGGTGGGTGGGAGGGGCCTCGTTTTAATCTCACTTTCCAACTTCGAAGTCGTGTTTGTAGCAGGATCGATATCGAATTCCTTGTCCATATTTGCCATTTCTTTCCTTTCTTTTTTTTTTAATCCAATACGATTTGCTTTCCGGTTTGGTTGTTGAGCCAAGACAAGGGAGTTCTGTTTGGAGCCCGGTTCGGGGTTGTTAATGCTGTAAATTTAGTCCCTGAATTATTTTTTATTTTCCAAACGAATTTCTGTCGGTGTCACAAACTGTTGCACACACACACACACACACTCACACACAAATGTCGCATATATAGAATAATGTTAAGACGTAAGATAAACGAGCACATGCTGTACATGGTATCATGGTTTGTTTGGTTTTTTTAGGCGAATCAAAACGGTCTTTTATTTTTATTTTTTCCCACCCTACTTTGCCTTTTATGACCCATCCTTTTGCATCATTTAGGTTCCTATCAGGCACTAAAATATCCCATAATGCCAACAAGAGAGACAACAAAACACAAAAATTGAAAGTGTTGTCGAAGGCATTCATTGCTATGAGTTTTCTGGGCTGCATGGCCATATTCCGGAAGCATTCTCTCCTGACCTTTCGCCCACATCTATGCCAGGCATCCTCAGAGGTTGTGAGGTCTGTTAGAAGCTAGGCAAGTAGGTTGTTGTGATTTTTCTGGGCTGTACGGCCATGTTCCGGAAGCATTCTCTCCTGACGTTTCGCCCACATCTATGGCAGGCATCCTCAGAGGTTGTGAGGTCTGTTAGAAGCTTGGCAAGTAGGTTGTTGTTATTTTAAAAGAACTCTAGAAAATACTGAAGGACAAAACATCTGGGGACCAACAGGTTGAGAACCACTGCTCTAGAAGCTCGTATGAGATACATTTTGGTGGATGCCCAGTCTCCCCTTGATGGTATATAACCAGTGGGAAAGGCTACCGCCTTAGTTCCTTCTTTCCGCCGCTATTGCTACCGCCCCAGTTCCTTCTTTCCGCCAATATTGCTACCGCCTCAGTTCCTTCTTTCCGCCGCTCTCTCTACTTTGACTATCTATAGCAGGGGTCCACAAACTTTTTAAACAGAGGGCCAGGTCACAGTCCCACAAACTATTGGAGGGCCGGATTATCATTTGGAAAAAGCACGAATGAATTCCTATGCACACTGAACATATCTTATTTGTAGTGCAAAAAAACACCCCCTTGGAGATTGCGCTATCATGGAGGCGAAACGTCAGGAGAAAATGCATGACGTTTCACCCACATCTATGGCAGGCATCCTCAAAGGTTGTGACGTCTGTTGGAAACAAAGCAAGTGAGGTTGATATATCTGTGGAATAATGTCTAGGGTGGGAGAAAGAACTCTTGTCGGCCCCTCTTCCTTTTTCCTTCCATTTTCCCCAGGATCATTGTCTTCTCCAAGCTTTTCTTGGAGAACTTGGTTGTCTAGTTTCTAACAAACCTCACAATGTATTGTCGAAGGCTTTCATGGCCAGAATCACTAGGTGGTTGTAGGTTTCTCAGGCTATATGGCCATGTTCTAGAAGCATTCTCACCTGACGTTTTGCCTGCATCTATGGCAAGCACCCTCAGAGGTGGTGAGGTCACAACCACCTCACCACCTCTGAGGGTGCTTGCCATAGATGCAGGTGAAACGTCAGGAGAGAATGCTTCTAGAACATGGCCATATAGCCCGAAAAACCTACAGCAAACCAAACCTCGCAACTTCTGAGGATGCCTGTCAAACGTCAACAGGGAGTGCTTCTAGAGCATGGCCGTACAGCCCGGAAAACTCGCCGCAACCCACAAGAATTGGAAGTTGAAAGAGAGAGGAAAACCTGCCCAGAAGCTTGGCTGTTTCCATCGAATCTTTGTGTATGAAACCGTGTACAAAAAATGTTCTTTTTTAAATAATAATGATCCTTCTTAAGTTTCAATGAGAACAATGGGAAGAAAAAGAAGAAGGGAGGGGGGAATACACATACATTTGTTTCGGTTGGATTACTCTTTTTAGAATCGCATGCTGTAGAAATGCTCCAAAGTGCATCTGAGACTCAACGCGTCCTTTCCATGTGTTTCCTTTTCGAGAAATAACCTGTTCTTTTCTTTTTAAATAACGACAACAACAAAAAACGAAATATACAGTAGAATCTCGCTTATCCGACCTTCGCTTATCCGACATTCCGTCTTACGCTCTTATCCGACGCCTCTGAGAGGCTTGAATCTTGTCCAGGCACCCATGACATCATGCCGAACACACCTGGGCTTCAAGGTCTACTCACGGATTCTGTGGGAATATCTAATTTGCCTGTTTTCCTTCAGCATTTCCCCTTCAATTAAAGGAGCGCTCCCCAACTCTCTCTCTCACACCGCGTCGGATGACTCTGTATTATCCGACATTTTTGTTTATCCGACGTTCTGCTGGTCTGTTTACGTCGGATACGCGAGACTCTACTGTATATGTAAACAAAGCCGTAAGTAACCACTGCTGATCTCCTGTCACTCCTCAGTGCGGAACCTACAAAAGTAATAATAATAATGATTAACTCCCCAGCGATGCAAATCTTGGAATAATCTAATAAATTCTCTTTTGACAAAAAATAAAGTATGCGTATACAGTGTTCCCTCGCTACTTTGCGGTTCGCTTTTAGCGGACTGTTTCGCAGTTTTCAAAAAAAATACTAATTTAAAATCTATGTCGCGGTATTTTCGCTGTTTCGCAGTTTTCAAAAAAATACTAATTTAAAATATATATTGCGGTATTTTCGCTGTTTTGCGGTTTTCAAAAAATACTGATTTAAAATATATATTGCGGTATTTTCGCTGTTTTGCGGGTTTTTGTTGCCACCGCTCTCGGAGCTGCTTTCCTTCCTCAGTCCTCCCTCCATCCTTGAAGGGCCTTTCCTTCCTTTTCTTCACTTTATTTTAAGTTTACGAAGACCTAAAATAGCGTATAACTACTAAAATAATGTATAAATATTAAAATAAGCATAGCGTCCTACCTCGCGGTTTTTCACTTTTCGCGGGAGGGACGTAACCCCCGCAATAAGCGAGGGAACACTGTATGAAAACTATAACAACAATCGCTGTAGGTTTCTCCTGAGGAAGGGAGAGGAGTCAGGCTTTAAATTCCCCCGTTTGATCCGATTCGGTTTGAACGAGCAGCGAAACCGAACGAACGGAAGAGGAAGGGAGGAAAAACACTCGTTGAGGCAGCAAACAGCAATTTCCCTTCTCTTCGGTCCCTTTCCGGGCTTTTTGCGGCCGAGATTCGGGGGCCAAACACACCGTATATTCTGCCTTTTTTCAAAGCCCGTTCCTTGCTCCCTCCTTTCGCGGAACGGATCCCCGCAGAGCTTTCTTCTCCTCCACGCCCTTGTATTTCCCTTCACTCCCCCCTTTTTTTGTATTTAATTTTAAAGTCAGTGTACTTCAAGAAAGCTGGATGCAAGATAGATTATATTAAAATGTACTGTTATTTAAGATGTAATAAAGCAGTTTGACATGAGTCGGTGGTGGTTCCTTTTGTTTCGATGGGACAGAATGGGGGACGATGCCTGGCTCGGCAGCAGGGCGTCTGGAAAAGCTTGTCCAGGCACCCATGACATCATGCCGAACACACCTGGACGGGAAGGTGAACATGAGCCAGGTATGCCATGCGGCGGCTTAAAAAGCCAATGGGATTTAGGCCTGGATTTAGTGTTTACATCCAGGCAAGTCATGCCCCCCCCCCCTCTATTCTGTCTTGGTCAGACCACACCTGGAATCACATTGTGTCCCATTCTGTGCACTGCAATTGAAGGGAGATGTTGACAAGCTGGAATGTGTGACTAAAATGATCTGGGAAACAAGCCCCATGAGGAGTGGCTGAAAGAGATGGACGTGTTTAGCCTGCAGAATCTAAGCTGGAATGTGTCCAGAGGAGGGTGACTACAGTTGTTTCTCTTCAATCCTGCTGTCTCTTTGGATTGCAACATCAATAATCCATAATAATAATAATAATAATAATAAATTCATTATTATTATGTTACTGACACAAAAGCACAGTATGTCACAGCAAATGACATCTATATACTGGATTTCGTATCACAATATGACAAGTCGAATACTTCCCAAGCTTCTAGGACTGTGTGATTTATTATTATTATTATTTATTATTATTATTATTATTATTTTAATGACACAAAAGCACCGTATGTCACAGCAAATGAGATCTATATGCTGGATTTCGTATCACAAAATCACAAGTCGAAAACTTCCCAAGCGTCTAGGACTGTGTGATTATTATTATTATTATTATTATTATTATTATTATTATTATTATTTTGAAACACAACAAGATGAATCAACAGCAAACAAGGTCACTCTCCTGGCTGTATTATTATTATTATTATTATTATTATTATTATTATTATTATTACACAAAAGCACAGCAAGTCACAGCAAACGAGATCTATATGCTGGATTATTATTATTATTATTATTATTATTATTATTATTATTAGAAACACAACAAGATGAGTCCACAGCACACAAGATCACTCTGCTAGCTGTTGTATTGGATTATTATTATTATTATTATTATTATTATTTTACTGACACAAAATCACAGTAAGTCACAGCAAACAAGATCTATATGCTGGAATTATTATTATTATTACTATTATTATTTTACTGACACAAAAACACAGTACGTCACAGCAAACCACCTTCAATCCGGAGGGCCCGCTCACCTGACACAAAAGCTTTTTATTGACACAAAAGCACAGTATGTCACAGCAAACGAGATCTATATGCTGAATTATTATTATTATTATTATTATTATTATTATTATTATTAGAAACACGACAAGATGAGTCCACAGCAGACAAGATCACTTTTCTGGCTGTTGTATTGGATTACTGACACAAAAACACAGTACGTCACAGCAAACAAGATCTATATGCTGAATTATTATTATTATTACTATTACTATTATTATTTTACTGACACAAAAACACAGTACGTCACGTCACAGCAAACGAGATCTATATTCTGAATTATTATTATTATTATTATTATTATTATTATTATTATTATTATTAGAAACACAACAAGATGAGTCCACAGCAGACAAGATCACTCTGCTGGCTGTTGTATTGAATTATTATTATTACTATTATTATTTTATTTCACAACAAGGTGAGTCCACAGCAGACACTCTGCTGGTTGATTATTATTATTATTATTATTATTATTATTATTATTATTATTATTATTTGAAACACAACAAGATGAGTCCACAGCAGACAAGATCACTCTGCTGGCTGTTGCATTATTATTATTATTATTATTATTATTATTATTTGAAAA